CAACGAAGCCATTCATCTGCACGTTACAGCATGCACAGCTCGGACAACATAGCCACTCATCTGCCCATCCTGGAGTTTGCCTATAAGTATGCTCCTGACGCCGCTACTAGACAGACGCTGTACTTCGTCTGTTACGGACGCCACTCGATCACACCACAACAGCTAACCATACCAGCCACAGTCCAACTGGCTTCCGATTTCATCGCCATCGTCCACCATCTTGTACATCGACCACACAAGCGCCCTCTTGGACATCCAACATCAGCACAAGCACTTGGCAACTCATCACTACCCTTCTCAAGACCATAATCTCGACATCAGCCAACTTCCATCCAAGCTTCAACCTTGCTTCTGCGGGACTATCCTCTTTGAAGTAAAGGTCACTTCATTCAACTTCCGCTTCCGCCTACCAGCCACTTGGAAGATCCATAACACCTTCCATACCAGCTTCTAAAACCCTATCAAGACCAAACACGCTCTATACCGAATGCCAACCACTGTCGTCGCCCGTGTTCATCCACACCATGGGACAACTACGTACTTGGACACCGTCATCGTCAGACTGGCACTCTGGAGCTTCTTCTTTGCTGGAAGGGTTATGATACTTCTATGGCTGCGTCTCTCAATCCGACATGGGTAACGCCCGTCGTCCTCTTCGCGACTACCTTGTCAAGCAGGGTGTTACGTCTACCACCCAGCTTTGAGGGGGGGAAGTGTGAGAGTACGACCCCGTTACACCAATTTCCCCTTTCCATATTTCCTTTCTATTTCATTCCTCTTTCACTCCTGATTCATTTGGTCTTTATCTCATCTCATTTGGTTTCCTATTCCTCTTTTTCCATCATCCTTTGGTTTATCCTGTTATTATAATTGTATCACCGACCAGGCTCGGGATGTACTGGCGCGCTATATCTAGCGTAATCCTGCCGTAATCCCTTAAAGCCAATAGCCTCACGTGGCTATACGCAGGGTGATTCTATTTCTAGAAGGGTCTATTCCCTTTGGATAGGATAAACCTGGTTACCTGATGTAATCTGGAAGTATAAAAGCACCTTGTACTGAATGATAGTGCAACATTGAGCAAACCTTTCCTCGGGACATTCGATCCTGTGACACCGATGAAGCCCTGTGGGCGGCACATGTAGAGCTGCTCGTGTAGGCTGCCCTGAAGAAAAGCAGTGGAGAAGTCGAGGGAGTGGAGCTTGTAGTCACGCTGTGCTGCTACGTATAGCAACGCTCGAAAACTAGTCACCTTCGGGGTCGGGGCGAAGGTCTGAAAGAAGTCCACCCCCTCGCGCTGTCTGAAGCCTCTAGCCACGTAGCACGCCTTGAACACAGGCGGCTCTCTAGGGGAGCACATCACCTTGAAGAGCCATCGGCCATCGACTACGTTCACCCCAGGTGGGGGGACTGCGTCGACGAAGGTACCGGTGGATCTCCAAGATGCCATGACCTTCTCCATGGCAGCTATCCACTGAGAGGCCCAGGGTCCCAAGGTCGCCTCAGCGTAAGTGCGAGGGGTCGGGATGTCAAAGGCATCTGGGTCACCCTCAGGGACTAGCAGCATGGAATAGAGATGGGGAGCAACCTCAGACAGGAAAGCAAGCTCATACTGCCTGTCCTCTAGGACGTTAGTGCCAAGGGCAAGAGTACCCCCGACGGACGGAGGACAGACAGGGTCAGAGACCAGAGCGGTGGCGTAGTCAAGGTGGTGGATAGAGGCGAAGTCAGCGATAGCAGCGAAAAGAGCGTCAAGACTCGAGACAGGAACAGACGGGCCGGTAAGGAGGGGGGCAAGGACTCGAGAAACAAGAGGACGAGCGGCACGAAGGTAGTTAGACAGAGGGGGAGGCGTGACAACAAGCGATGACGGAGGAGGCGAAGGCAGGAGAGGAGGACGAGACGCGTGGGAACGAAGCAACATAGGGTGAGAGCGCTGAATAGGAGAGACAGGACGAGCTCGAGAGGGACGACGAGACCAGACGTGAGACGGAGGCGTCCGGTCAGGAGACAGAGGAGGAGACAGGAGAGGGGAACGAGGGGGGAGACGAGCCGGAGACGAGTCCGGCGGAGGGAACACATGGCCATAGACAGGAAGAGGAGGAGGGGCCGGGGAAGGCGCAGGTGAGCAGTCAGGGCAAGGAAGGCCGAGCAGGCGAAGGGCGGACACTGGCGGCGACTGCTGCTGCTGCTGCTCGACGCTGACGCCTGGACCGCCAGCTGCAGCACTGCTACCACCGGAACACTCCACTCCAGCACCCCTAGAGCGAGCACCCCCAGAGCAAGAACTCTCTCCACCACCGGTGCCACCCCCAGGCCCACCGGGACAAGCCACAACAGGAACCCCAGGACTAGCACCCTCCTCAACGCCAGCACCCCCAGAGTCCATGCACGGCTACTGCTGCTGCGGCGGCTGCGACGACGGCGGCGGTGGCGGCTGCTGCGGCAGCGACTGCGACGGCGGAGGAGGAAACACCGGGAGAGAGGTAGGTGGCGAGAACTGTGCCGCTATATCTAGCGTAATCCTGCCATAATCCCTTAAAGCCAATAGCCTCGCGTGGCTATACGCAGGGTGATTCTATCTTCTAGAAGGGTATATTTCCTTAGGATAAGATAAACCTGGTTACCTGATGTACTCTGGAAGTATAAAAGCACCTTGTACTGATCGATAGTGCAACCTTTCCTCGAGTCATTCGATCCTTTGACACTTGGTATCAGAGCTTTTCTCACTCGGCCGCGCTCAAGAAAGCAGCAGCAGCAGGAAAACCTGCCTCGAAAAACCGCCGGGGGCGACGAATTCGGCGCCAATTCTGGTAAGCACCAGCTCCGCGTTTTATGAATAACCCCCCCGCGCGTGTTTTGAACATGATGGCAACCTTCGACAACGCCGAGGTTACCCAGCAGCTCTTCGCGCGCATCGTAACCCTTCAGGAGGAGATGCGAGCGGATCGCGAAGCATGGCGAAACGAGTTCGAGCGAGTAACTCGACTTGCCGGAGCGCAGCACGACTCAACCACGGCGACGACGCAGCAGTCGCAGCAGTTTCTCGAGGCTCCGAAACCGCACCCACCTGAGCTGTTCGATCCGAGCGATCGAAACTCCGACGCCCGCAGATGGATCGCCGGGATGGAGATCTACTTTGCAGCCGTCGGATGGAGCTCGCCAGTCTGAGACGGTCAACGCGTACGACTCGCGGCGACAATGATGCGAGGGCCGGCACTCGAGTGGATTGGCGGCAACAGTACCTTCATCTACGGTGAAGCCACGTGGCAGCAGTTCCGCGCCGACCTGCTGAGACGATTCGAGCCGATAAATTCCAGTTTCCTTGCCCGGGAAAAAATTCATCGCCATCGACAGTTCGGGAGTGTAGCGCAGTACACGCAGCAGATTGAGGAATTTTATAACCGAGTCCCCAACCTGACCGAAGGGGAAAAAGTACAGTCGTACCTCGCCGGGCTGAAGACCGAAGTCAAACGACAGGTAGCAGCGTCAAACTACGCGAGCTACAGTGACGTCGTTTTGGCAGCGGAGCGCTTCGACATGGTCAACGCCGGGACACGACGGACGCACGTCGGCAGTACGCGACAGGGCGACCGCTCGGCTCACACCACGTTCGCCGACCCAATGGAAGTCGACAAATTCGAGGGACGGCCACGTCCGAAAAACACCAACTACAAGTGTGATTTTTGCGGGGTGCCGGGACATCGAATCTTCGACTGCAACAAAATGAAAGCTGCACGCGCAGAGTATCGGGCACGCAACAGTGGCGGAAATCCTTCGGCCAATCTGAAGACAAAAAACGGGAGTCGCCAGTGATTGCGGATCTAGCTGGCGAAAATAAAAAGATCCGGAAGCGGCCGCGGGATTCAGGAAAACTCAACTTCGACGAAGCCGATTCGACGCGAGAAGGAGGAAATGATGGGGGAAAATCTCCACCCCACGACCAGTCTTCGCTAGGGAAAATCGCCGAGAAAAAATACGACTCCGCGAAAAAAGACTCTGCCGAGACGGGGAAACTCCTTGAAGACCCAAGAAGTTATAAGGATTCGTTAAAGGTATCCTATAAAGATGCTTTAATGAAAACTTATGATTCTCGAGGGGCTAGAGCCTTGGAGAAAATTCGGGAAGGACTCCAAAAGAAGCAGAAAGCTGTGGAGGTTATACCGGTACCGGACAACTTGGGGGAAAAATTAAGGAGTGTGGAAAGAAGCCGACCTTTCCACAGAGTCAACGTCCTCTCCCGACACCAGCCCACAACGACCACCCGTTCCCAAGGGAAGACATCGGTGGAGCTGAAGCAGCTCAAGAGGAAGCTGGGGGTCTACAAGAAGCTGCAAAAACCCCGAAATCCTTCGTCTCCGGATGCATCCAGTTCAGCAACTTCGGCATCAACGACGCGCACAGTCGTCAAGGAAACTCTGGGCCCTGGAGAAGAGCCGTTCTCCAAACAGCCTTGGCCAGCTGCCAGCTCAGGAGTAGAAAGCAACGAATATTGGGATGTACCCTATGATCCTATCAATGAAACTATCTTTGGGTACTCTGAGCAACGCCTGCCGCAGGTGCTCGAGGTCATCTGCAAAGGACGACGCCTCTAAGCACTCGTGGACAGCGGAGCATCACACACCGTCTGCGACAAGGTAGTAATCGACCGACTTCGGGAAGAGTACAAGCCTTCGGGATTCTCTGCAATGATGGTGGACGGCAGCAAGTTACCAATACACGGCGAAGCAGTGCTACACCTACAAATTGGACCACTGCGCTGGAGACCTGCACTCCCCATCACCAACATCAAAGGGCTTGATTTGATCTTCGGGCGAGACTTCTTAAAAAGATTCAACCCCGAGATCAACAGGGCGAATCACACCGCAAGCATCTACAATAATGGACAGAGAGCACAGCTACCCAACTGGGACGATACAGGAGATATTCAGTAGAGACACTCGCACGATTCGAGAAGGACGTGAAGCGAACCGACACCGGGTTCCTGGCGATAGCAACAAAGGTGGAGAACGATGGAGAGAAGACCTCGGAACCTCCGGAAAATATCAAGGAATTGCTGAAGGAGTTCCAAGACATTCTCCCTGAAGATCTTCCGAACGAGCTACCGCCATACCGAACGCACCAACACGGAATCGTGGAGGAACCAGGTTCGAAACCGACCTTCCGAGCACCATATCGGCTCAGCCCCACCAAACTAGCCGACATGAAGAAATAGATCGAGTATCTCCTCGCCAAAGGACTCATCCGACCATCCACTTCGCCATGCGGTGCCCCAGTGCTCTTCACACCGAAACCGGATGGAAGCCTGCGCATGTGCATTGATTACCGAGCTCTCAACAAGCAGACCATCAAGAATAAATATCCGATACCACGAATCGATGACTTGCTTGACCAACTTCGAGGAGCTACGGGATTTTCCAAATTGGATCTGCGGTCTGGATACTGGCAGATATGGATGGCGGACAACTCTATCCACAAAACTGCTTTCCGAACTCAGTATGGATCGTACGAGTATTTGGTAATGCCATTCGGACTCACCAACGCACCGGCAACATTCCAAGCCGAAATGAACCACATTCTACGACCACACCATCACCGTGGGAGACCAGGTGCTCCTTGACACCCGCAACCTTGACATCAGCCATCTCCCATCTAAACTGCGACCTCGCTTCTGCGGGCCTTTCCTCGTTGAAGCACAGGTCACTCCTGTTACCTTCCGCTTACGCCTGCCAGCTACCTGGAAGATTCACAATGCCTTCCATGTCCAACTTCTGAAGCCCTATCGGGATCCGAACACGATCTTCGTCGGACGCCAACCACCGCCGCCGCCGCCCGTCCTCGTCCACAATGAACCTGAGTACGAGGTCGAGTCCGTGCTTGCACACCGCCGTCGTCGGACTGGCACCGTGGAGCTTCTCATCCATTGGAAGGGTTATGATCCTTCTGAGGACAGCTGGGTACCTGAGTCCGACATGGGTAACGCCCGTCGTCCTCTGCATGACTACCTTGTTAAGCAGGGTGTTACTTCTACCACCCAGCCTTGAGGGGGGGAAGTGTGAGAGTACGACCCTGTTACACCACTTGTCCCTTTCCTTATTTCCTTTCTATTTCATTTCTCTTGTTCTCCCATCTCATTTGATTTCCTATTCTCTATTTTCCATTATCCTTTGGCTTATCCTGCTATTATAATTATATCACCGACCAGGCTTGGGATGTACTGGTGCGCTATATCTAGCGTAATCCTGCCGTAATCCCTTAAAGCCAATAGCCTCGCGTGGCTATACGCAGGGTGATTCTATCTTCTAGAAGGGTCTATTTCCTTAGGATAAGATAAACCTGGTTACCTGATGTACCCTGGAAGTATAAAAGCACCTTGTACTGATCGATAGTGCAACCTTTCCTCGAGTCATTCGATCTTGTGACAGAAGGGATGTGCAGGCATGTAAGGGAACCCGAGGGGACCACTGGACAGAGAAGGGTAGTGTAGCTGCGAGCAACGTTAGGGTCAGAAGAGGGGTCGGCAAGTGCAACAGCGGCAGGCGCGGCAAACGGCGTGAGTGTGGCGTTGTCGTGGAAGAAGCAGGCAGATTCACCGGAGTCAAGTGTGAAGGAGAGCGAAGCAGTAGCAGCAGACGAAGGAGGAGCGAGTGTGGAGCCTAGGCAAGACAAAGCAAATAGTCATACGCCTGACGTAGCGGGGGAGTCTGTACTACACACATGTGCTACGCCTAAGCTAGAGAACACAGGTTAATAAGATCCAGACACAGTAGAAGCGTCAGCATACAGAGAATGCAGGACAGAACTAATATGATCCATGTCTAACTCAAAAACAGGCACATCATGGCGCACGAGCCTAGGCCTTGAGGGAGGTCCGAGGCCGGGCCGAAGCGGCGACGAAAGAAGTCGTCAAGGCGGCAGAAGCAGCGGGCGATCGGGTGCAGGTGGCGGCAAACAGTGCCACGAAGGGGCCTAGTCTAGAGCTGGTACCGGCAGCTCACAGCACCGGAGCCGCCTATAGTCGCCAAGCTGCGAGGGCCACCACCGTGGCCACCACCTCCAGAGGCTCCTGGCCACCTTGGCGGGAGGCGGGCCCACGGCTGTTGCTGCTGCTGCGGCTGCGACTGCTACTGCTGCTCCTGGACACCAGCCCCAACCCCCTCGTTAGGACCACTGTCCCTGCCACCACCACCAGCGCCACCACCACGCCCTCCCTTGGGGCTACGATGGCCTCGACGTTGTCGCTGCTGCGGGAAGGCCGCAGCTGCGGTCTCAGTGGCAGGGGCAGCCATAGCGACCGCAGCGGAAACGACAGCATACGTGCACTGGGAGGGAGCACAGCCCTGATTGATAGGGACTGCCGCAACACCGCTAGATTGAGCGATAGTGCGCTGGCGAGTCTCTATCTCAGACATGGCAGCGACAAAGGCGGTCAGGGTGAGGTCACCAAGGTGCTGGCTAAGGAAGTGGTCGCGGGTAGTGGCTAAGCGGTCAGGTAGGCGCATGGCAATCAGGTACAGGGTAGTGCAGATTGGTGGGGGGAAGGCAGTGAGCTGGGCGGTAGTGCTAGCAGCGCGGTAGCTAGTCACGAGTGCACGGAGGTGAGTGGCGAGGTCAGCGACAGTGGAGAAAGCGGAAAGATTGAAGAATAGCACAAGGAGGATCAAGCGGCTAGCGGAGGCAGAGGCGGGTGTGGAGTAGCGCGCAACTACTACATCTAGGAAATCCTTGGCGTTCGAGACAGCAGTGAAGCGCGGACGCTCAGACAGGGGAAGAGCATGATTAATGGCGAGCTGCGCTATAGCATCGCGGGAATCCCAGACAGCGCGAGGGAGGGCAGCAACAGAAAAGGCCTCACGCTCAGCAGTGGTGGGGTCAGCAGGGAGGGGATGCAAGCCATCAACATGCATAGCCAGGGAGTGCCCATCGTGGTGCTGACATGTCAGGTGATGGCGAAGATCGACAAGCCAGGCGGCGAAGTCGATCACGTGCCCCTCCGCGTCCAGGCGGAGTACGTCGTCCGCCAACATGGAACCTCTGCGTCACAGCTCCATGGCGGCACAACGACACAACAACTCAGCAACACGGCGGCACAGCGACACGGCGGCATAGCGGCACAGGTACTCGGTGCACTACGGCACAGCGGCGTGGCGGCATGACTCTCCGGTGGGAAGACCGGGCAGAAGGCCGAGCAGGGCGCACAGGGCCTGAGGTGAGCAGCAGGCCGGCGAGGCGCTATGAGCCGGCAGGGTGCAAAGGGGCCGGCGGAGCGCTAGGGCCAGGTAGGCGCTCGAGGGGCTGGCAGGGCGTCAAGGGCCGGTGGGGCACTAAGGGCCAGCGAGGCGCTAAGGGCCAGCTAGGCGCTAAGGGTCGGCGAGGCGCTAAGGGCCGGCGAGCACGGGAGGGGCCGGCGAGGTACGCGAGGGGCCGGCGAGTGCGAAGGGCTGGCGAGGCGCGCGAGGGGCCGGTCGTGTGCGCGAAGGGCCAGCGGGCACGTGAGGGGCCGGCGAGATACGCGAGGGGCGGGCGAGCGCGAAGGGTCGGCGAGGTACGCGAGGGACAGGCGCGGTACGCGAGGGGCAGGCAGGCACGTGAGGGGCCGGTAGGGTGCTGAGGGCCAGCAAGGTGCGCTAGGGGCCGGCGGGGCGCAAGGGGCCGATAGGGCGCTAGGGGCCTGCGGGGCGCTAGGGCGCGGTAAGGCTAGGGTAAAACTGGGCGGAAGTCTAGGGCGAGGGGCAGATGCGGGTGGGCGGACCTAACGTACTATGATACCATGTTAGAATAGCAGAATAACTAGAAACAAGGGAGACATAGGGTTGGAGTTGTACCCTCTAAGAATACACACCTATCCAGCCTATAACTTCTACATACAAATAAATGTATAAGTTGACAGAGTGATTCGCTCATTGAGCTGCAAAGCTGTCAGCCGCGAATTAAACGAATTAATTTGCCTGACTACGATAGCGTTTGCGCTCTTACTTGAGCACGGGTAATCACGAATATTCCCCTGTCCACCCGGCGTAGTATGCGCCACATGGACCAGGCACAGTTTGACGAGTTGTTGGCAAAATTCGCTGCCACGAAGGCTCGCCTAACAGCTGTGCTAAATGACAACGGAAAGCTTAGCGCCGAAGTTACCGAGCTTTGCCAGACGCAAGAGTCTACGTGCCAGAAGTAGACCGCCCTCGCGGACGCCGCCAGCACTGGACGTGTCGAAGCAGTATTGGATGAGATCGCACGCGACATGTCGTAGGAGCGCCATGATGATGAAGCGGCGGTAGTAACGAATGCCGCCGCACGTGCCACGGCAGCTGCATCATCTGCGACAATGGCCGCCGCCTGCTTCGAAGTAGCAGCAACAGTTTTTGCAGCAGCCACAGCCACGCCAATTGTACCAATGGCTAAGATAAAGTCGCCGATCTTGCCCCCTTTTAACCCCACGGACAAAAACACGACCATGACGGGCTGGCTTTTTGCGATGGAGCTTTATTTTGATGTTGTTGGGATGACTTTTGATGATTTACGAATCAAGCTGGTTGTTTCACTACGGAGGGGACCTGCACTGGATTGGTGGTGATAAATGCTAAGTGAGACGAGGACTTCGGCAGGGAACACTCAGGGGATTTTCGGGAGTTCAGAATCTGCTGCCTGGGACGCAACGTATCAATTTTTGGATCGGCCGAGATTCGCACGTGGATAGCGTGGGGTGCAGCTCTGCGTAAACGTATCGAGCCCATATCCACCCCAGACAACGCACGCTCAAAGCTGGACACCTGGCGCCAGTTGACCTCTGTCCAGGATTACGCGTCATCATTCCAGGCATCGTGTGACCAAATCACCGACCTATCAGAAGCGGAGAAAAAGAGCCGGTTCATCATTGGGCTCAAATCCGACGTTCGCAACTTGCCCTTAGAGCGGTGTCTGCTCGAGATCGATGCCCGATTGGTCGACAGCATCTCGTTGGCCATACGCTATCGCGTGCGAACAGTTCGCATGAAGTGTGGTGACAATTTCAGTTTCAGCGCGCCGATGTCGGCAACGACGCTCGATGGCTACGATGTGCTGGGACGAGATTGGCGTCGGCGACACAATCCGCAAATCGGTTGGACGATAGGCGAGTGCACAGTGAAGTGTGCGAATGGCTGGCAGAAACTTCCGAGCTGGCGAGGAGCAGAACCGATAACGACACGCGTCAACGCAATTACACTAACATGCGTGGTCAAGAAAGGCGCGGACCTGTATGCCGTCCATCTGAAGGAATCAACGGACGACGATAAACCGGCCGACATCGATAAGCTCTACGCAGCAGTGCTCGAAGATCTGACAAAACTGGTTCGTCAGTTCCCAGATATTTTCCCGAGCGACTTGCCACCTTGACTACCACTGGAACGCCCTCAGGACCATCGGATTGAACTGGAATCTGGCACGCAGCCAGCTGTTTGGACACAGTGGCGGGTGATGCAACCTGAGCTCCAGGAATTACGGGACCAGGTGGACTATTTGCTGGCCAAAGGGTTCGTTCGACTGAGCACGTCCCCATTCGCCGCCCTGATCCTGTTCACGCCCAAGAAGGATGGGGGCCTCCGAATGTGCATTGATTATCGCTCCCTTAATCGGGTTGCGATAAAATATCGCTACCCAATCCCATCCGCGGACGAACTGATTGACCACGAGCGAGGAGGTCGCTATTTCTCGAAAATCGACCTTCGTGGCGGTTACCATCAGATTCGAGTTTCCGCTGACGACTGGCACAAGACCGCATTTCGTACTTGATACGGAAGTTACGAATACACTGTCATGCCGTTCGGCTTAATGAATGCCCCCTTGACGTTCCAACTGACGATGAATGGGGTATTCCAGGATCTACTCAACATATGAGTGATCATTTATCAAGATGATATCCTGTTTTACAGCACGACACGGGAGCAGCACTTAAAGGACCTGGAAGCGGTTTTTCAGTGCCTGCAGCAGAATCATGTCATCACCAAGGGCCTGCGAGTTTTTAAAACCCGAACTGGAGTTTTTGGGGCACGTTACAGCGACGGAAAGTATTGTCCACATGTTTGTGACTTAGAGGAATTTTGCCATTTTAGGGGGTCATGGACATTAAGACTTAATCTTCTGGTGTGCCTAGTGTATGTAGGTTGGGGTAAGGCTCGACGCCCATGCCTTACATCACACAAGTATAATGATGTTTACAACAAATACTAGAAAATAACAATCTTGGTACATGTGGACAATTATTGCCAGGCGCAAGCAGCAAGTTACATCAACCCCAAACTAGTACCTAATCCACCGCCCTTTCGCCTTAGACACCGCCCTCACCCTCCTGGGCATGCTTTCCACCAGGTGGGTGCACACATCCGCCGGGATCTTCTCCCATTTCTCCTGCACCCGCTCCCAGAGGTCCAGCATACCAGTGGGAGGCTTATAAGGCTTGGCCAGCTGCCTCTTGAGATGAGCCCATAAATGCTCCATTGGGTTGAGGTCGGGTGAGGAAGACGGCCACTCTAGCACCCCTGAATCTTACTCTCAAAGCCACTCCTATACGATACGCGACTTGTGCTTCGGGTCGTTGTCGTGCTGGAAGATAGTTTTTGAGGGTGTAAGCTAGTAAAGCTCAATCGTACTGTTGAGATCGTCCTGCAGTATACTCAGCGAGAGCAGTCCGTCCACCCTACCATATGTTTTGCTCATGAAACCCGCTCCCTTTTACGACATGCAGTTGTAAATTATCAAGCAACCGCCCCCGTGTTTGACGGTCTGCTTGATTTGGTGTCTTTGGAGGGGTGTCCCTTCGTGAACGCAGGCGTATGAGAGTCAGTCGGATGCAAGACGACCGATCTTGGTCTCATCCGCACAGATAACTCGCTTCTAGTCGTCAACCGTCCAGTCTGCGTGGGCACGCACCCATTCCAGCCTATCGCGTATGTTTTTCCGAGAGTGTCGCGGTTTCTTGGGATGCTTGATTGCGACAAGTCGGCTCCCATTCAAAGCGTTACGCAATGTCTTAGGATGCAACGTGATGCCGTGCTGCTTCTCAACGATTTTCGCCACGTGAGCGGAGATTTCTGCCTCCTCGAGGGTAATCGACCGAACTATGCCGTGGCGAACTCTCTCTGTCACTAAGCGAGGGCGACCGGCTGAGGGCATCGTAGGACGCACGTCATCGCGGCTAGACTCTACAATCGCCTTGATGGGCCGAACTCTTCCCTATGGCTAGCTGTTTGCGATTCAACGATTGCTCTACCCCCTCCGCAACAAGGGAATGATCTATGCGTAGAGCGCCTTATCTAACGGTTTCATGACGGCCTAATCATCGCAGCCGTCCTAGCCTATCTTCTGACTACTCGATAGTCGCGAGGGCAAGTAAGAAGAAATAGCGAGGTTAGGAAATAGATCTACTACGCTGCTTGGCCTAAACTGTCCGGATGCACCCACGCGGACGAAATCTCGTCCTCGGTAAAAAATCGACCCCTATAAAACTGAAACCAGCATCCGTCACATACAGTACAGTACTACTTTACATCCAACCCCGAAATTTGATTTGTAACTAAACAAAGAAAGCACCAAACCAGTACGAGAAATGTTTTAAGGCAAATATCCGGGCAATACTTTCCGTCGCTGTATTTCGACGGCCCGCAAAATGCGGGCCATTCAAGAATGGAAGCCGTCGACCAACCTCCGAGAGCTGCAATCGTTTTTGGGGTTCATCAATTATGTGTGCCGGCTTATCCCCAACATGGTGGGGTTAACAGGAGCCCTAACTGACCTACTTCATAAGGGCGTTGATTATCAGTGGGGGGTGAAACAGCAAGCTGCATTTGACAGATTAAGAAATGTTTTACTCTCGTCAACAGTACTTCGGATTGTTGATCCAGAACGCTCGTTCGAGGTCGTGACAGACGCAAGTGACATCGCCATCAGAGCAGTTCTGCTACCGGATTTTGGCGACGGCATTCAGCCAATCGCGTACAAGTCGCGAAAGTTATAATCAGCCGAGCGAAATTATCTAGTACATGACAAAGAAATGCTTGCGGTCGTGCACGCGTTCAAGATCTGGCAATGCTACCTGATGGAAGCCGATGTGACTATACGAACAGATCACAAATCCCTATAGTACCTACGAGTGCAGCCGAATCTCAACCCGCGGCAGATTCGCTGGTTGGATTATCTGGAGTCGAACTTCACGTACCGAATCACGTAAAAGAAGGGTGCCCTCTCCAGACCATCCGCCCAAACCGCCGCTGAATTAATCGCCCACAAGAACCCGTTGTTGAGTGGACTATTTACCCACAGAAATTCGATCGATCCCTTTTTCGTAAACAACGGCCACGGCAGGTCACGACTGCACGAGGAGCCTATTACACAAAAGCAGGAACATAACGAATTTAAGTTCCGAGTTATCATCTACTGTCGCCCTGCCCCCACTGCCTGTAAGCTGCACCAAGTGGGCCCAACTTGAATTTCAAGTTGGACCCGTGTTCACTACTCCAGCAAAACTGGGGCTGGGCCCCGATTGGTCGAAATGCTAAACACGCAACTCTATGGTCGTAAATTTTGTCGCCAGTGCGAAATGTCGCAAGCAAAGTTCAATTTCGTGGCCTTCGGCTTGGTAAAAAACTGGGGCTCCTGCCCGCCCCTCCAAAAACATATTCACTGTTGGGTCGTTTCTAGTTGGGCCCAACTAGAAAGGGGGGTCACTATTATAGTCTCTCGCTTTAAGAAGTCCACGATTCGAACTTATCGGGACATTTCAAGGTCGACAAGACTCTAAAGGCACAGCAACGATTTTATTACTAGCCTGACATGATTTCGGACGTGCAAAAATACGTGGGCGCATGTTCGATCTGCCAGACAATGAAATCATCATGCAAGTGCTCAGTAGGATTGTTGCAGCCCTTCGAGCCACCCCAGCGACCTTGACAATGCGTGACAATAGATTTTGCCACCGGCCTGCCAGCTGGACCAAGTGGTAATGACGCGGTTCTTGTTGTCGTCGACCGCCTCACGAAAATGGCTCACTTTGCGCCATGTCGCACGACGATCACAGCCGAAGAAACAGCGCGCCTATTCATCTCGGCTGTCGTTCGCCTGCATGGTATCCCTGTGGCGATCATCAGCGACAGAGACCCAAAATTCACCTCGTGCTATTAGCAAGACACGTGGAACCGATATGGCACCAGCCTACAATTCTCATCCACCTATCACCCGCAAACCGATGGTCAGACAGAACGGACAGATCAGACCATGGAACAGTTGATTCACACGAACTGGCTGGATACTCGCAAGTGGGAAGATTCGCTACCGATGCTCAAGTTTTACTACAACAACGCACCCTCCGCCATAACCAATCATTTGCCATTTTCCCTAAATTACGGGATGGATCCGATGAAACCCATTTCCACCAACGCTGAAAGTCAAGTCCCTCAATCGCAGCAGTTCGTCGAAGACCTTCAGACCGCCCGCACGTAGGGACGGGCGCGACGCCTCAGGGGAGGGGCTGGCTAGTGACGGGCGCGACGGCTGGGACGGGCGAGACGGCGCTGGGAGCCGGCTAGAATGGCCGCGGCGGCTCAGGGGAGGGGGGGGACTAGGACGGGCGCGACAGCGCAGGGGGCCGACTAGGAGGGGCGCGACGGCTCAAGGGGCCAGCTAGGACGGGCGCTAACAGCGCAGGGGGCCGGCTAGGGACGGGCGCGACGGGTCTGGGAGCCGGCTAGAACGGCCGCGGCGGCTCAGGGGGGGGGGGGTGGCTAGGACGGGCATGACGGCGCAGGGTGCCGACTAGGATGGGCACGACGGCTCAGGGGGCCGGCTAGGACGGGCGCGACGGCTCAGGGGGCCGGCTAGGACGGGCGCGAACGGCGCAGGGGGCCGGCTAGGAACAGGCGCGACGGCTCAGGGGGCCAGCTAGGACGGGCGCGAATGGCTCAGAGGGCCGGTTAGGACAGGCGCGAACGGCTCAGGGGGGGGGGCGGCTAGGACGGGCGCGAACGGCTCAGGGGGCCGGCTAGGACGGGCGCGAACGGCTCAGGGGGCCGGCTAGGATGGGCGCGACGGCTCAGGGGGCCGGCTAGAACGGGCGCGAACGGCGCAGGGGGGCGGCTAGGAACAGGCGCGACGGCTCAGGGGGCCGGCTAGGAGGGGCGCGAGCAGCTCAGGGGGCCGGCTAGGACGGGCGCGACGGCTCAGGGGGCCGGCTAGGAAGGGTGCGAATGGCGCAGGGGGCCGGCTAGGAACAGGCGCGACGGCTCAGGGGGCCGGCTAGGACGGGCGTGAACGGCGCAAGGGGCCGGCTAGGAACAGGCGCGACGGGCTAGGGGCGGCGCGACGAGGGTCTAGGGCGGAAGCGTGGGCGGCGGGACCTACCTACCAAGCGTGATACCATCTTAACGTAGGATTGAATGTCGAGAGAAAAATGTATAAGGGTATAAGCCTACGTGTTGTACCCTCTAAGATACGAACCTATACAGTCTTTACAAATATAACCTATATATATGTTTGACAAGAAATGGTTGTAACCGCGGGTGTGTTTTGCTGTAATAGCGCTAGTAGAGCTGCCACTTGCTTGTTGGTCAAAGCAAGGGCGGCGGGTGTTGGCGCGCTGGACGAGGCCGCCCCGCGGCCTTGCTTGTTCTGACGCGAGGGGCCCGCCCTGCCGTTCGGCGCCTTCTGCGCGCTGGCGTCAGCAGGTGACGCGCCATCCGCTACTTGCGTCGCCTGCTGCTCGCTGGCGCGTGGCTCACCAAGCTCAACTTGGTTGACCTCGCCACTGCGCAGAAACACGTCGAGGGCAGAAGGGGCGAGGTCGCCCTCTGCCCGACGCTTGTTGCCGTGATCACCCGCCATTTCACGGGCGTTTTTCTCGGGTTCCGAAATATTCGGAGTGCCGACGAGCAGATTTTCAGCACGATTGGCCGGGGTGCTAGGAGGGGCCATGGCTGCCTGGTTATGCGTAAGGATATCGGCGAGAAGCTGGGAGGGTGCTTCCCCGCGAGGGAGAGTTTTCAACTTCGCCAGAGTGGCGGGGCGAAAAAGGCGGGATGGGAACTCAATTAAACTTGAGCTGGGAAAAATGAAAAACGTGGGTGGAGGAAGAATGACCTCCAACCCCATTATATGGTTGGAGAAGGGCGAAAAGCACGCTTTGACGATGCCTGAGATTGCGTTACAAGCAGCTTCGCATTCATAATACGCAATTTTGAAAGTGTGAACACTTTAGAAATTTACATTTTGCGTGGGTTTCTAGATACGGAAGTAGGTAAGCTTTCAAGCGAAGGTTGAAAGTCCCATTCGGGATGTGACATGGTGAGTCGCATAAAAGTCACATTTTAGATGCAAAAGCGTTGCTTTTGCGTCCCTGTAATGTGACGATAAAGTGACGTATTATTTCGCCACGTGGCAGCACTTTGCCCAAAATAATAGGAGCCTCTCTGTGATGAACATGTGGGCCATTTAAATGGAATTGGGTCGTGTGGACAAACTGTTCGTTTATGTGCGAAGGACACACACGATTAGCCACCGACCTAAAATGTCGGTCGACCCTTATTGGCTAAGAGCTCACGCGGCGCGACCTATGAGATGCAATCACGACCGTCCAAAATTTTCAATATCCACAAAATCCGCGTTTGGAAACAGTCAGTATGAATGGACCTTGCAATACTTGTGTTACTAGCATACCACATAATTGTTAACAAGGTAAACCTATTTGCAATGAGGTTTTCCTAACCTAACCTAAACTATGTGCAACATAAGCACAACAAGCATAACTAGTATCAACTAGAGTTTCTGGTCTTGGAAAAGATATTCAGTTTCTGCACAAGCAAAAACGACAGTTAATGTCACGGAACTAATTGTAAAATGCATCTGATAACTAATGCGTATCTTCGAACTTTTTGCTAAGCAGTCTGAAATGGATGATCTGTAGGGTTGGTCGTTATGAAATCTACAACCCGAAAAGTGAACTAGGAGATCTTAAGAAATGTCGGGTCCATACCAACCAGCGGTTGAAGTGTTGTTGCTGAGCTATTGTTGGAGCACACACCATAGCTTTGGACACTTATCACATGAGAAACCCGGACTTCCGTGTTCTGCATTAACGCGCAAACGGATTAAACAGGCAACGCAATGCGACAGAAATGGCACAAACAGGGGGGGAGAAAAGGAAAGAGTTTAAAATAGTAGCGAAAGATATCAGGAACGAAATGACTGTCAAACATTTGTATCTCTAATGTTTGTAGCGACTGTATAGGGTCACCTCTTAGAGATTACAACCCTTAGAGAGTACAGTATAGATTATATATCCTTGTACCCAGGTTCTCTAGTTACTCAATTATTCAGTTCTAAGATGGTATCAGCAGTAGGTAGGTCCCGCCGCCCGCCCACGCTTTCGCTCTAGGACCTAGCCGCCCATGCGCCCGTCCTAGTCGACCCCCCGTGATCGCCCTAGCCGCGCCCTAGCCGCCCATCCTAGCCGCCCGTCCTAGCCGCGCCCGCGCGCCCGTCCTAGCTGCGCCCGCGCGCCCGTCCTCGCTGGCCCCCACACCCGTCCTAACGGCCCCCGCGCCCGTCCTAGCCGGCCCCGCGCCCGTCCTACCGGCCCCTGAGCCCGTCCTACCGGCCCCCGCGCCCGTCCTAGCCGGCCCCGGGCCCTTCCTAGCGGCCCCCGCGCCCGTCCTATCGGCCCCGCACCCGTCCTAGCCAGCCCCGCGCCCGTCCTAACTGGCCCCCGCGCCCGTCCTACTGGCCCGTGCGCCCGTCCTACCGGCCCTCGCGCCCGTCCTAGCCTGCCCCGCGCCCGTCCTAGCCTGCCCGGCGCCCGTCCTAGCTGGCCCTTGCGCCCGTCCTAGCTGGCCCTTGCGCCCGTCCTACCGGCCCCCGCACCCGTCCTAGCCGGCCCCAGCGCCCGCCCTAGGACCGTCCTAGCCGACCCCGCGCCCGTCCTTCCTGGCCCCCGCACCCATCCTAGTTGACCCCTATGCCCGTCCTACCGGCCCCCGCGCCCGTCCTAGCCGGCCCCGCGCCCGTACTACCGGCCCCAGCGCTCGCCCTAGGCCTGTCCTAGCCAACCCCGCGCCCGTCCTTCCTGGCCCCCGCACCCGTCCTAGCCGGCCCCGAGCCCGCCCTACTGGCCCCCGCGCCCGTCCTGCCAACACCTGCGCGCGCCCTGCCCGTCGACCTCCGGCCCCGTGCTCACCTTCCTGCCGGCCTGCCGCCGATTTGTGTGCGGCCCGCTCTTCATGCCCGCTACTGCCCTGCACCCTCCCTGGTACAGTTCTGCATCCCTCTGCACCGCACTGTACCACACTGTACCGCACTGTACCGTACTGCGCTGTCTTGCACTCCACTGACTCGCCTGGCGCCGCCCAACACTGTTCCTGATGGCGGGGGAGCTTCGCTTCCACGCTGAAGGCCAGCCTCTAGAGTTCGAGGCCTGGCTAGCCGACCTCCGCCGCCACCTCACTGGCCAGCGGCAGGATGGCCACTCGCTTTCGGTACACCTTGACGGTACGCTTCTCTGCCCAGACCCCCCTGCTGTGCTGCCAGCTGACCCCACACCTGCTGAGCGTGAGTCTGCTGCGGCCGCTGCTCTTGCTCGCTCTATCTGGCTTTCCCGTGACGCTGTCGCACAGCTTGCCATTAGCAATGCCCTCCCCCTGTCTGAGCACCCTCGCTTTCGGTCTATCACCACCGCCCAGGCTTTCTTAGATGCTGTTATCCAGCGCTATTCCACCCCGCCTGCTGCCTCGGTGGGTCGCCTAATCCTCCCTCTCCTCTTCCCTGACCTAGCGTCGTTCCCCACGGTGGCTGGCCTAGCTGCTCACCTCCGCACGATAGATGAGACCTGGCGTGCTGCCTGCACTGACGCACAGCTTAGAGCCCATCAGCCGCCCCTTACCTCTACCCTCTACCTGCTTGCCACCCGCCTCCCTGACCGCCTTGCCGCTGCTCGTGACCGCTTCCTTAGCATCCACCACGGTGACCTCACCCTTACAGACTTTGTAGACACCCTGACTGTTATCGAGACCCGCCATCGCTCTATTGTCCAGGCGAGCGGTACTGTGCCGGTCCCTATCTTTCAGAGTTGTGCCCCCGCTCAGTGCACCTTCTCCGATGGTTCTGCAGCTGTGGCTGAGACCGCCGCTGCAGCGCAGTTCCGTCCGGGGAAGGGTCGCCGCCCCAAGTCTGGGCGCGGCGGCGGGGGTGGGGGTGCAGGTGGAGGTAGTGGTGGAGTCGGGTCGCCTGGTGGTGGAGCGGACGAGGGGACCTTGCCGGGTCCAGCTAAGCACCCGCCCCAGCAACCGCAGCAGCAGCAGCAGCCACCGCAGCCGCAGCAGCCGCAGTAGCCGCAGCCCCCGCACCAGCCGCAGCAGCCGCCGCAGACGAGGCCGGCGAGTGGTCTCCCGCCCGGGTGGCCTGGCGCTGGTGGTGGTCGTGCG